ATGCATGGGTCAAAGGGGATTCCCAGATATTTAACTGATGAAACCAAAGTGATGGACTCCCCATTACACTGAACATTAAAATTATTTACCCTTCTCAGTTTATGTTTCGTTCCAAAGAGAATGGCTTCAGTTTTCCCTAGGTGTAATGATAGTTTGTTGTCTACTAACCATTTGCTGTCTTTGTAATACTCACTTGTGCTTTATAGTAATCTGTTTACATTAATGTTTTATCACTGATTTCATCATTGCTTAGTTAATCTTAAGTTAATTTTAAGCCAGCCCGTAATGCTATGCATAGTATAAGTGGCTTTGGCATACTGCTCTTATCTGTATTTTTTTGTACCTCTGTGTGTGTGCTCAAATTGGAAATAAATAAATAAATAAATAAATAAATAAAAGAGTGTAGGGGACCGGAGATGAAGTGTGGGGGGGGGGGACAGAAGAGGGGGAAACTGGAGGGGACGGGAGTGGAAGGCATAGTACGAGGAGGGTGAACCTCCACACTTGTAATAGAGCCAGAGAGAGGGGAAGAACTAGGCACAGAGACTGGAAAGGTAAAGTGTGGGGGGTGGAAGAAGGAAGGAAGGGACAAAGAAGATTTGAGCAATGTGGATTTTTTGGACTTCTGAGAAGTAGAGGGGCGATTGGTATAAGGTGTCGTACGAGGTCTTGTCGATACTGGGGCTTGAGGAAGGACGCGAAGATGTGAGAACAGACTGAGTTGTAGTCGGGACGTCAGAGCCAAGGACAGCAAAAGGATTAGATGCTGGAGTGGCTATGGGAGGGGAAACAACAGAGGAGGCTGCAGAAGATGGGACCCGAGAAGTGGGGGGATGTTTTGAAACACGAGAATAAGAAACACGGAGTAGTCTTCCTTGGAGGCGGAGATGAGTAACTGCCATAGCATAAGGGAGACCTTCTGCCTCTTTGAGGCAGCAGATTTCATGCTCATTTAAGTAGACCTGGCAACGACGGGAGTACGAAGGGTGAGCTTCATTACAATTAAGGCAAGATGGAGGTTGACTGCAGGATGTATTAGAATGGTCGTCAGCACTACAGACTGGGCATTCGGATCTGCAATATTTCGCTGGGTGACCCCCTCAAGGAAGGTTCCTTGATGTTGGTGAGGGGCTCTTGATTTAGGGAATTGGATCTGTGCTCCAGTTCCCCGAATTAAGCCTGAATGCCCTCGTGTAGTAGATAGTCTTTTTAGTATGATAATAAGATGTTATCTTCATTATAGAATAATAAGAAAATATTATAACCTTTATATTATAATAATAAGGTAAAAGGGGCCCCCCAAGGGAAAAATAAGTCCTCTGCCCCTGACTTTTTTGGGGTTATCCTGGGTTTTTTCTCTACACATATTTTTGCTATTTTAGGGATAATTCTAAAAAAACTGTATTGTGTATCCCCTAAATTTAAATTTACTTACTTACTTATTTACACATCCCCCCCCCCAGGCGCTGTAAAATTTTCCCTTTCCTTTTTTACCCCCCTTCCCCCCTTTGTTTAAAAAAATAAAAATTTCCTGGGGGGACCAAAACGCCAGCAATTTCTACACTTTTTTACAGGGGTAGGGTTTCACCTTTCGAATTTGTAACCTATGTCCCGCGACATAAACGGGAGGTTGGGATTTTTCTCCCCCTTTGCCCCCGAAAGAAAAACGACCACTTTGGGAAAAGGGTAATGCCCCCCCGCCCACGGCAGGAAGGAAAAATAAGTGTCGACTTTGAGGGGGGGAAAAAGACCCCTGGATTTCCAGCTTTTCAAAAAATTTTCATTGCCCATGACTGGAAATTCTTTTGGACTATGGAAAGGGGGGCAAAAAATGAAAAAGTACCCCTCCCAAGAAATTGAGGGGAAAGATTTTTTTTTCAATGTGAAAAGGAGTAAAAACCGAAATGCGAAAAAAGGAGAAAAAAGATCATGAGCTTGGGTAGCTTTCCCTGGACAGTGACGAGGGGTTTGAAACGCTCTTGGAGCAAAAAATTTGGAAAATTTTTACCAACATGACGCCGGGGGCGTTTTTGCCAATACTATGGTCAAAAAAAGATGGGCAGAAGAAGAAGCCCGGCCCTTAAAGTAAAAAAAATTTGTCCACTGTTGGGCCCCCCAAAATTTGGGAAGCGTGGGGGGGAAAAGTGCATAAAGGGGGTCGGTTTTTTTTCCCCGATTAAAAATGGGAAAGGTAACAAAAAGGAACATCAAAGGAGATTGACTTTTGGGGGGGGTTTAAAAGGAAAAAGTGGGGCCCCCCCGGGATTTTTTGGGGCCCCCCCAACCCCAAATTAAAAAAGGGGCCCCCCCCCCCCCCTTGGGAAAAATTTCCCCCCAAAAAAATTGGCAGAAACCTTTAGGGGGAGGGGCCAAAGGGCAAAATAAAAAGGAGGGGGAGGTCAGAAAAATCAAAGGGTCAGCCCCGAAGCCCCGGAAACCTGAAGCGGGGAGGGGGAAAAAAACAGCACCAGCAAGAGGTACGGGGGGCCACAGGAGTGTCCGAAGGGGGGTCTAAAAAAAGGGCGGGGTTTCGAATGGGGTGCGGTATCAAAAAGGGGGCCCGGGGGGTTAGGGGAGTTTTTGGTTTGGGTTTTTCCCCATTTTTAGGTTACTCCTTTGTTTTTTGTTTTTAAAAAAAAAAAAAATAAAAAATTAAAAAAAGAATAAAAAAGGGGGGGAGCGGGGGGGAATTTTTTCCCGGGGGGAAAAAAAGGGGGCCAAAAAATTCCCCCCGCCCCCAAAAGAGGACCTCAGCACCGCTAGTAGTGCAGATCCCAGCAGGGAACCCCAAATGCCATCCCCCAAACCCTTCATGAAAAGTAAACCAGCAATCCGGGATAGCAACCCAAATCTGCCCCAGCTACCTCGTTGGACAAAAAAAGGGGGGCGGGATATCCAAAACAAGATACCCCCTTCGGCCCCCACCCCGGGAATCCGAAAGGGGGCTTCCAGTGATCCCCGTCCCCCGAAAGACACCCAAAGCTACCCCCCGGGATCTGGAGAAGGATCAGGACTCCTAGGCGATCAGATTCCGGCAACTACCCACCCCCAAGAACTAAACGGATGGATGGACCCAGTATCCTTTCCCTACCTAGGAACTAGCCCGTGGAGAAATCCCAAAGGCCAAAAGAGGAAGGGAAAAAGGGAGGGGTGGGAGGAGGAGGGGGAAAAGGAAAAAGGGGAGGATGGGTAGGGAAGGGGGATTGGGGGGTAATTAGGTTCGGCCCTGAGGAAGGAGCCCTGAAGGTCAATTCCCTAGACCAAGAGCTCTTCACCACAACAAGGAGTCCCTTAAAGAGGAGGCTGTATAATGCTGAACTGTAGCAATTCTCGTGATTGAAATGTTCTGCATCAGGCCACTAACATCTGGGGTAGTTTCAGACTTCTTAAGTGCTTGAAAGATATCAAAAAATTAAATTCTTGTCCTTATTCTTCTATCAACTTTGATTGCACTGCATTTCTAGCAAAAACAGGAAATTGTTTTCGCTGGTCCGGGTCGTGGGATTTTCGGGGCAACGGCAGGCGGACTCTGCTGCACACAGCAGTAATGACCTCCAATTTCATATGAGGTATTGTATTCTGACTGATCGCTAGCCCCCTTAACCCTGGCAATATGGTTCTGAGTTTTCATAAAAAATCATTATTCTATAAGCAGTTTTTCAGGATTCTGGTCTTCTCATCAATGTGGGGTTTGGGAAAGGGCCCAGCTTCCTGTCTTCGATCGGGCAACGTTTTCGCAAATTGTATCTGTAGAGGGCACCCTGTTCCCTCTTGAAAGAATTATCGGTTTATTTCCCGTTTCCCATATTCTATTATGTTGTCTACAATGATATGCAGAATTTACCAGACATCATGCTTAACACCTTACTTTATCTACCCTCTCAATAGCCTTGTGGCTTAGCGCTTCTTTTGATTATAAAATTACCTCCTCATGAGGCTCAAGCTTTGAACCCCGCTCCTCTGACTTTTTGACACAACGAATTTATTACACAAATTTGATTATACTTCAGCATTTCGTAATGCCCTTACTGCTCTCCCTTTGTTATACTCCACCCTCCTAGTCTTTGTCAGCATATTAAACTTTAGCTGCCTACCTGCAGTGCGTTGACTTGTGGTTAGCACTTGGTTATAATTAATAGTAAGCAGTACCCAAAAAAGTCACACAGTACTGCAGAAGGTATGTGTAAAATGAGGAATGTTCAGTGGGGGTTTGACCTCTCAAGGGAAGGTTCCTTGATGGGCTTATTGTCTTCAAGAAGGAGCTGGACAGGTCCCTATAGTCAGTACCTGACCAGCCGGGTTGTGGTTCATACGTTGGTTTACGTGCAGCCAGCAGTAACAGCCTGGTTGATCAGGGGCCTGATCCACCACGAGGCCTGTAAATAAGTTTATTCAGGTACAGGTACACATAAATACAGTTTCACTGGCTGGCCGCGGGGGGCGTTTTACCCCCGGGCACTACAGGTATACATGTACAGATTTGGCTGTGTATGTCCTAAATTTATCATTTTTATTGTAGAATTTTTAAATTTGTCAATGCCTTTTCTGATTTCCTTCAATCTATCACCTATTATTTTTATTATGCCGCATTTTGCTATTCCCGTCAGTCCATTGAGGTACAAATTCGATTCAAAATCCAAGTTTTTTTTCTTTTTATGCAGTACAAAGATAAGTAGATAACATGTAATATACATTGTTAGGTACAAAAGAAAGCCACTAGTATGCCATATTTCTAGTAGAAATATGGCAGTATGCTATGTATACTAGTGAGGACTGAGGCTGTATAATACAGGTGTACCTTCCTGGGATACTACAGTGACCGACACGATGGTATAAGTTTCATTCTCCTATATGTGGGTTGTTTGTGCATTGTTTCAATAATAGTACTGTGCCTTTTTTTGGGTTATCCAAGGTAATGTACACATATACTCCTATTTATGATAATTTATGTAACTATTTATGTGTACCAGTATCAGAATAAACTTTCCTGACTTTTATTCCTGACTTCCGGGTGACGCCTTAATAAAGCCTCAACTTGGTGTCCCTGAATTAACTCAGCAAGAATGACCAGGAAGATGCTGAGTTGTGGTGAGGTGTTGAGTTTGTGTGTGACGAGAGAGACAGCAGCGACGGACCCGTGATCTAGGGAACCACAACTACCGTCCCTTCTTTGATCACATCAAACCTGTTTGCCTCCCATAAAGGTGCTGTATGACCCCTACGGGTTTGTAATATTCTGCTTTGAGTATGAATGGCGGATTTTAAAACGTTTGATATTTCTACTGTATGAATGTGGGTTTAGGGTTTGTCTTTTAATATAATAATTTATTGTCTTGTGTTCCAGCGTTGTATGACCCTAATGGGTTTAGCGCTTAGTTGTGATGGTTATGTTAAGAGTATGATAAGAGACAACACTAAGTGTCAGGGGTCCAAGACTGTTCAACTACCTCATGGCATACATAAGGGGGATTACCAATAGATCCCTGGCTGTCTTCAAGAAGGCGCTAGACAGGAACCTAGAGTCAGTACCTGACCGACTGGGCTGTGGTTCATATGTCTGTCTGTGTGCAGCCAGCAGTAACAACTTAGTTGATCAGGCTCTGATCCACCATGAGATTGGTCATGGACTGGTCTATGGGAGTTGTTGACCCCTTGAACACCCACCAGGTATACTCCAGGCATTACCAGGGGCTTTCTATATAGTATGTCATTGATGTCAGCTACTAGATATGTATAAGTTGTATCATGTACTTGTAGGCATCAAGATTATTATTATTATTATAGATTAATTTCCTATTTTTCCATTTGTATATTTTATTCACATTGCCCCTAACTGTAAGTCATCCTAAAGTCAACGGCCATACCACAAATACACCGCTTCTCGTCCGATCAGCGAAGTAACGTTGTGTTTGGTTAGTAAGTACTTAGATGGGTAACTGCCTGGGAACACAAAATGCTGTTGGCATCACTCTTTACAAGGACCCCAATGGAAATAAGTCACTTTGTCTGACATTTTTATTGTGTTATCCTAGGTAATCTACACATATGCTGCTATGTATGATAATTTATGTACATAACTGTATTTACATGTACCTGTACCTGAATAAACTTACTAAAGAGTCCAAATTCAGTGCCTTCAGCCTGTCTATGGGAAAGGTTTCAAATACATGGAATTAACTTCATCATCCTTTTGTCTGTCTCTTCTCTAATATGGAGACCAGAACTGAGTAGCATAATCAAAATAAGCCCTTTCCAAATATGCATATAAATAACTTGGTGTAATTTCACTATATTAAATCATTTCATAAAACTTAAGATTCTTTCAACACACCAATCATGTGCCACCGAGGCGGGTTGGCCCAAGAGGAAAAACGAAAGCTTCTCCTTTCACATTTAGTAATATACACAGGAGAAGGGGTTACTAGCCCCTTGTTCCCAGCATTTTAGTCACCTCTTACAACATGCATGTTCAAATTTCATTGTGCAATCTCTCAGTATTTTAAAAAATCAACTACCTCATTTTGTGATTTTACTAGTAAGCATAAGTCCTTATGAATTTTTTTTTTTTTTGTTTGGCTTAAAATTAGTAAATTTGATACTTTTTCGTCCAATTGTACTCATATTTTTTTTAAATACTATAAATTGTATTCCCTACAAAATTAAAATTATCATTTTTACAAAATTTAAATTTTATTTAAAATTTTTGACATTTAATAACCATTATTGTTAATTACCTTTACTGTTTTATACCACATTTTGTTTAGAGTCCCTTTAATTCCCGTACTGCCATAAAAACCTCTGTAAAACTACCAGTGCAATATTGAATAAAAATAAACATTACTTTTTCATTTTTTGTAATCTTATTACTTACAAATTTTATTTAACCCATATTTCTACCAGTAAATTTTATTTTGTACATTAAACTTATTTTTATTCCCAAACTTTTTGTGCCAAATTTTCAAGTTTGTATTTTAATCCAACCTTTTTTACCTTTGTACCTTCTCCCATTTTACATAATTTTTAACCAAGACTTTAATTTTCATTGTTCTTACCTGTCCTTTTAAATTTTGTTTACACTACTTGTTTTTTTAGTCACTTTTTTTTTGTGTGTGCAATTGTGTATTTTTCAATTATTTTTTTGAAGTACCAAAACTATTTTTTGTAGTAGTCCCAAACCTCTTTTTTTTTTACTTTTTTTTGTGCAATAAATGATAAACTTATTTTTTTTAAAAAACAGTCTACCCCAAAAACCCAAATTTTCATATTGCTATCTGCCATTTAATTTTTTTCCATTACTTTTGTGCCCCTTTATTTATTTTTTTGTCCTTTATTTGCTTTATTAACTACCTTTTTTATTTCGCAATTGTTAAATAAAAAGGGTGTTTTCCCAGGTGTAAATTTAAATAGTTCACTATTTTGCCATTATACCCCAAAGTTTTTTTGATTCCCATTTATTTTTCCCACATTTATTAGTCCCTTTTTATTAAAATCTTATTTATAATTCAACTTTAAAGAATTATTTTTAAAAGTACTACCTATATCGTTTTCCCCAAGCTATTTTTGATCATCATTTAAATTTGTTCCCCAAATTTTTTGCCCCTTTTTATATTGCCCCTTTTTTTAGCTTAAAAACTCCCTTAGTCATTTTTTTTTTACTTTTGTTAAAAAATTCAGGTGCTTTTTTTTTTTTTTGTTAGAATATTTACTTTATTTTTTACTTAATTCTAACTAGATTCCTAAAAATTTATAAAACAAGCATTATCCGATACACCTCTTTTTAGATTTTAAAGATTCAAACATTTACGTAATTACTACACAGCGAACAACCCCAAAGGCACTTCTCAGACCCAACAAACAACATAACTATCTTTTAAACAATATCAGATTTTTAAAGAAGCTTTGATGACCCCCTAGCATTACAAAATTTCCTTGCATCCCAATTTTCCCCATCATTACACTAATGAAACCGGGTTTAAACCCTGATACTACAGTGTTATGCCATTCGGGTTACACAGCCATACACAACTGTAGGCCGCCCAAAAAAGGGGGTGGACGCTATTATACTCAGCCCAAAACTAGAAGATCACTAATATTGCACAAGGGTAAAACAGGGGGAATATATAATAGCTAAATTTCAAACCCCAAATCCCTAAAAAAACCTTCACGTGATAAACATTACAAAATTCCCACAATAAAACATTAGCCAATTTAGTCAAAACTGGGAAAGTATGATAACTGATGCCGTGAAAAAAGATCACTTACTATCTCAGGTGATTAAATAAAATCCCCTGCAAGACCCGGACCCCAGTTATGAATTCACAAAACAATGAGTAACTGATTTGCTACCAACAGTAACAAAAAATAAAGTGTTACAGGATAGTGTTCCCCCACTTGATCACATCTGGACAACACCTTTCCCTTTAAAATCAGGCATAATTACAGATAATAAAACCGACCACCTACTTTCCTCTAAAATCTTGGTAAAATACCCCCGACATACTAAAATCACTTCAGATTTCCCAAAGAGGCAGCCTTAAAAACTTCACAACGCAGTAACAAACATTGACTGGCACACTGAGCTAGAAATTTTAAAAATATTGATGAATGTTTTAATAATTTTCTAAAAAGACCAATACCTTTTAACAAGCATGCCAAAAAACTAAACAGAGACGCTAAAAGAAAGAAAAAATCCCCGGGTAAACCCCATTTTAAAAACCCTAATACAAAACACGTATGAAAAACAGTACAGAAAAGGGGACATAAAAAGAGACCAAACAAAAAGTTACTCGTCAATCCCAAACCCGCCTGATAAAAAGGGCAAAAAAATTGATTATGAGAACGATTTTCCAACTTTCGAGGTGATAAAAAAAGCCTGGAAAAACCCTATCAGAAAATTTTGGGAACAAAAAAGATATCACGAATAGCGAAAAAAAATTAGCAAAAACGATGAACCCCCAATCCAACCAAAGAAACGCAAACAGACTCAATGTTTCTTCTCCCATAGGTCAAAACCCTTTCCTTAAAACCCAAACTCAGTACCCCACCAAAAGACTACCCCACTGGCGCTACCCGAACACTGTTCCAGCTCGATAAACCCCTACAAAGCTCCCCTTTTATCAACGCACTGAAAAAAAGGCAGGAGATTTAAATACCTTTCCCCCCTTTATATACAAAAAAGCATCACAAGTACTATCCCCAATATTTCAAAACCCTTTTCAAATCCATTGAATTCCACCCTTTCCCTACAGTTTTCAAAATTTGCAAGGGTCACCCCGTCCATAAAGGAGGGGGACCAAACAGAGTTTAATAATATAGGCCATAATGTATCCAATTTACACCCCCTCTCAAAAATCTTCGAAAAATTAATTCATAAAAGAAAACTACCCCACTATCTCCCCAAAAATTCTCAACCCCCGCCAATTTGGATTTGGGCCTAATAAAAAAACAAAAGATGTATTATACACATGTTGAACATATTACACGGGAAAGGAAAAAAAAAAGTCCCCCTGGGGTCTTCATTGACTTAGAAAGCTTTTGATACAGTTGCCATGATTTGCTCCACGAAAATTGTCCCCTTGGTATTTTGGGGCACTCCCCCAACTACCTCAAGTTTCCCCGCAACAGAAACCAAAATGTGTAGCAAATGGGGGAGCTCTTCCCCAAAACCAAAATTTGTTGGTGTCCCCGGGGAAAGGGCCCGGCCTTTTCTTTTCTATACTAAATTTACCCACAAAATTTTTAATTACTCAAACCCCCATTTTTGAGGACCCTAGTTTCTTCACCCGAGCCCCGTCACGAGCCCAAAACTGTAAAAAACGAATTAAAAAATATCTACTGGGGGGGACTAACAAAGTACATAAACATGAAAAACCCACTTTATTCAGTTTGGTAGCGAGCTACAGATGTCCTCTTAAATAAAAATAAAGGATCACTTACAAACTAAAAGAGGGAAATTCTTAGGAATCCACCCCGATAAAAGACTAATTTCATACACATATACAACAAATTTCTAAGAAAATTTCCAAGACTGTAGGCATTACTATCAGAAGATACGGTACTATGTTCTCAGTCAGCCCGCCTGGGCCCCTCTATCACTCTCTTATCGTACCTATCTTACCTATGGAATTTGTGATTCGGGCTCAACAAAAATAACATCTCAGACCACTAATTAAACAACAAAGGCTTCTGTTAGAATGATAACAAATTCTCCAATACAGGCAGCACAATCCACCAATATTCAAAACACTCACCTACTAGCCATACAAACATTCCATACTTATTATTGCATTATTACATTACATTGATAAACTTAACTATGATATTAAACCCTCCCCCTCAAAACATCTCCTTGCCAACCTCAACAGAACAATGACCATAATACAAGGCACAGATCACTCTTTGATGTTCCTCGTGTCCATTCTCCTGACATATGAAACTCAAAGACATAAAAGGCCCTAAAATTCTGGAAATCATTACCTGTAAAATATAAAAGAAAACATACCTGTTTATAAATTCAGTCTATTCTCAAAAGTTCACTTACCTCACTCAAAACCATAATAAATACTGAATAACTGAACCCATTAAATTGGTATATCCTAAATGTACTCACAATTATATCACACAAATGTTAAACCTACTTTATTTTTTTAATACATACCTAACAGAATACTCCATTCTGCTGAATGAACAGCCATGCATGGCCAACCATATGGACCTGTCTTTGTTAATACGCATTTTATCTTATAGTTATCTGTTTACAATAATGTCCTTATCACGATTTCATCATTGCTTAGTTATTTAAGTTAATTGTAAGCCAGCCACGTAATGATATGCATATAAGATGGCTTTGGCATGCTGCTCTTACCCTGTATTTTTTTGTACCTCTGTATGTTATGCTTAATTTTCTAATTAAATATTAATAAATAAAAGGAAATAGTAAGAAAACAATAACAAATAAAAACCAGAGGCGGTGTGTATATATATGGCCTGTACATTCACGTTTAGATGTGACCTAAGGTGTAATTAGCTAGATGTGCCTGAATTCTTCGCTGTGTATTATGAGACAGAAAAGACACCAGCAATCTCTTACCATCATGTAAACCAATGCAGGCTTTGCTTTTACACTCACTTGGCATGGATGGTAGTACCTCTCTGGGCGGTTGTTGTCTACCAACATACCTGTACCTAGACAATTAAGATTATTGACCCGCAATTTAACCTTATATGTAATGTTTTGATAAATTAACCACTTTGTATAAATCTACTTTATCGGTATGCTTAAAAGATAAAATATTATTTTTTTAGTTTTTTTTAACTCATTGGCCATTTCCCGCTGAGGTTAGGGTACCCAGAAAAAACGAAAAACATTTTTCAATTATTCACTCCATCACTGTCTGCCAAAAGCGTGCAGTTAAAAGGACTCCAACATATGTCCACCTCCTGAGTACAGGCACTATACTTCCCACCTCCAGAACTCAAATCCAGTAATTGGTTTCCCTGAATCCTTTTATAAATGTTTAATTTGTACACACTCCAAGAGCACATCAAGATATTAAAACTTTGCTTCCACTTGCTCCTGTTTAACATGCTCCGCACATTTGCTGGAAGTTCCAAGCCCCTCGCACATAAAACCTCCTTTACCTCCTCCAACCTTTACTAGCATGGACCCCTACCCTACCTTCCTTTCACTAATTGATTTATACGCCCTCCAAGTCATTCTAATTTTTTCCTCCTCTTAAATGTCTGATTGCTCTATACAGCTCTCTTGGCACCTGGATAATACTTTTAGAACCCCCCACACACCTAATCTCCAAAACTACTGATTCTCTGCATAATATTTACACCGCACATTGCCCTCAGAATGACCAGCTCCACTTCCTCAGTCCTTCTCCTGTTACATCATTGCTATCTATTATTAATATTTATTTATTTATTGATATCTAGTATTGTTTATAGTTAATTGTAATAATAGTCTTTATTTCTACAAGTACATGTTACTCAGGACCATAGCTGACATCACTGACATAATACTATATAGAAACCCCCCTTGTTATGCATAACATTTCAGGCAAATTAGGGCCCGTTTTGTCCTCAAGATGTGACCCACACCAGTGACTAACACCACAAAATACCCATTTTACTGTGGGTTAAGGGACAGCAGGTACCTGACGGAAACACATCCTAATGTTTCATGCCTGTACCGTGCATTGATCCACAGACCTCAGTGTGTGAGGCCGAGTGTTGCTAAATTTAGATGACTGCTCTTGTTGGATTTTGACAATAATATTTTAGAATTGTAGGTAATTTTATATTTAGTTTAAGTGGCATATTGAACTTGTTGAGATTTTATGTAAATTATTATTTTATTAGGCTGGAACTGTGTGGCAGAAGTTGTTTTTGGGCCTATAAGATGCCGGGCTGTTTTTTTTTTTTTTTTTTGGGTAACTAATGGTAGCTAATAAACCATCATAATTTAGATTTAGATAGTTAAATTGTAGTTTTTTTTAGGTTGGGTTTTACGTTCAGGTTACATTTGTATTTTGGTTTTATAATAATCGTCGTATCTGTCTTCACTTTCACCAAGCCCATTTGTATTTTTTTACACTATTTACAAACCGAGAACTGTTTACCTTACCGCAACTCATTTCAAAGTCTAGCCATACTTAGGTATACTAACTCCTCCAGAACACGACTCACTACTGAGACTAACACCCAGGCATCTATTCATCTGTAGGTGAACAGGAAAACAGGTACTGTATAAGTAAATACATTCAGCATTTCCACCTGTCACAGGATTGAACCCAGGTTCTTTGGTTATGAGGTTAAGGCACTATCACCAAGCAAGGAACCATTTTTTTAACCAAACTTTATGTAGTAACCCATCCTCTTAACTTTCATTAGCATCTGTGTGGATTTCTCATAACCATTTTGTAGCAAATTTCCAGTTAGGTTAGGCTGCCCTTTATTCATAAAAAATAACCAATGATAACATACCACAGTGGAAAAGAATATAAATATAAAGATGAAGACAAAAAGAGTTCAGCCCATGAACAGAAAATTGGACACCCCTAAGTGGGGTAGACTTAACTTGTCATATTTTTAATTTTTAAGAAACTTTCATCACTCTTCCATTTGACTGTTTTTAGAGCAGAGAAATGATGTCTTTTAAATAACCCTTAAACGGCCCAAAAACGTATATATATTTCCCACTCGCATAAAGCCCCAAATTTTTTGAGGAAAAAAGAAATCTTTTCTTTTAAAAGGAAAAAAAAAGAGCATATGGTACCCAGGCATCCCCAATTATTTTAATATGGAACACAGTGAGTGCACACACCCTTTTCTCTCATGTCTAGGTGACTCAGGCTTTATTGTGGCAATGTTGAATGAATGACAAAGAAAGCGTATATATACGTTTGGGGCGCTACCGCAAGGAACGTATATATACATTTGGACCGTTTAAGGGTTAATTTGTGAAGCATGATCCATGGCAACATTTAAACCCTGTCATTGTCTGGTTGCCCCTGCATGATTTCTGGGTTACAGTTTTGTTAGGACCTTATGCAAGGGTAGTTTGCTTGCCCCACATTTAGTTGGTTGGCAGTTTGTGCCTAACAACCTTTTCCTTCATATTGTATTTGTTAGTCACAATGCGGGGGTTTGTTACATTTATATTTATTTTGTCATAAATTTACCTTTTGTTAAGTTGCATTATTTAAACCCTTCAAATGGAACAAGTTACATTTGTCATTAGATATATATTAATATTGTATACTGTTTAAAATTAGATGTTCAAAACATATCTTCAGGGTTAGCTTACAGAGTGAAGGTCATGTGAACATACATGTTAGCTTACAGAGTGAAGGTCATGTGAACATACACTCATTTATCAGTTTAAAAATTAGTTAAATATAGCATGGTTATCACTGATTAAAATCAAATTTTATATATTGATTGTCATAAAGAAGTACAGTAACCTTCTATGATGTGGGAGACTCTTGTATAAATTAGTGTGTGTTTGGGAATCTTGGGGAAAAGCAGGTAAGGGAATCAGATTACATAGTCATTTTATTGTTAAAAATATATACAGTACTGTAATGTATTATTTTATTATTGCATGTATGTCTTCGGAAGAGAAGATTCACTTGAAAACACTTAAAATGCCTTGTTATTCCAATTTTGAGGAAAAGAACGGCCCAAATAATGGCACAGTTCTTTAAAGGATATGAAAAAAAATTAAATTAAGTTTTCTGAGCACCATTAATATGGAGGACAAATGAGTCAAATTTTATTTCTAAGAATTACAGGGTGGTGATTCATTACCGGGTAATCAGTGATTTATTCAGTATATTCAGTACTGTATATACAGTATTGTATATCATCTAGAATTGTCCTTTTTTTCCAGAAAAATTTAAATTTTTGCATTAGATACTATTTAAGATAGTTCTTCTGAAGCTACTTTAATCCTTTATCTACAGTCATAACTGTATCTACAGTCATGACTGTAGCCAAAGTTTGGAAGTTACTGAGGCAGCCAGTTGGAAGGCCCACACCAGAAAACTTCATCTGTGTGGAGGAGCAGCTGCCACCATGTGATGATGGAGGTACGATTGACACATGACTTTTCAATGATAATTCTTCAGCTATTGACCAAGTAAATACCTGTAAGATCTTAAAGACATACAGAATTTTTGCTGCACATGTTTTATTAACCCTTAAACTGTCCAAACGTAGATCTATGTTTGCTCCTGTAGTGCTCCAAACGTAGATCTATATTTTTTTTACATTGTTTCTTATGGAGAAAATCAAGGTAGGAGCTCTATGCGCACAAACGTAGATTTACGTTTGGACAGTTTAAGGGTTAAGCTTGAATTCAGTGTGAATGTATTTTTTTATTGCTATTTTTTGTAGTCTTGTAATCTAGTCTAGTTAACTTAGGTTCCTCTGTAAATAAGAATTTTTGTTTCCATGCTGTTGGAGTGTGGGCAAGGTAACATTTATAAATGGAATTGGGGACACTGGTTAGCGAGACTCGAGTCCTGGAGGTGGGAAGTACAGTATCTACACTGAATGATAGGTTGGGGATGCTGTAGTTCAAAGGATTATTTGAATCACAACATATCCAAACTTCTAACAAGACAGCTGACACCTAATTAAATTAATGATGGTGAGCAAGTTTCCTTTGAATTACCCGACCTTTGTGGGAAACAGCCAATATGACAAAAATATTCTCTAATTTACTCTCTTAACATACCATTCTCTCAAATATATTTTCAATTGTCAGATGTTATAACTGAAGCTGAATATCTAAGTGTGGACCCTTACATGAGATACAAAATTCGACAGATCCCTCTCAACTCCACCATGGTGGGCTCACAAGTTGCCAGGTTAGTTAAGTTTCTCTACATTTACTTAAGATATACTGTGCGCTATACCATGGAACCTCAGTACTCGAACAGCTCCCTATGTGAACAATTTGGTATTCGAAAGCTTTGTTCGGTAAAAAAAATCGCTTGGTAGTTGATTGTTTGCTTGGCACTCGACCAAACAAACATGACCTGCCAGAACTTTGCTGTAAAACTATTTCGTGTTTCTTTGCATTTTTTTTTATATTTGTATAAATAAGACTCCAGGCGGACATCAACCAAATCTTTAAATAGGATGCAGAAAACATATGAAGTTCAATGATGAGAAATTTCAGTTACTCCGATATGGAAAACGTGAGGAAATTAAAACTGTATTGGAGTATAAAACAAATTCCAACTACACAATAGAGTGAAAAACTAATGTAAAAGACCTGGGAATGATAATGTTAGAGGATCTCACCTTCAAAGACCACAACATTATATCAGTCACATCTGCTAAAAAAATTGACAGGATGGATAATGAGAACCTTCAAAACTAGGGATACCAAGCCCTTGTTGACACTCTTCAGGTCACTTGTTCTGTCTGGGCTGGAATATTGCTGCACACTAACAGCATCTTTCAAGGCAGGTGAAATTGCTGACCTAGAAAATGTACAGAGAACCCTTATGGCACACATTACTGTGATAAAACACCTCAATTACTGGGAACGCTTAAAGTTCCTCAACCTGTACTCCTAGAATGCAGGCGGGAGAGATACATGATTATATACACTTGGAAAATCCCAGAGGGATTACTACCAAACTTGCACACGAGAATCACTCCCTATGAAAGCAAAAGACTTTGCAGACAATGCAACATCCCCCCAATGAAAAGCAGGGGCGCCATTAGCACGATAAAAGACAACACAGTAAGTGTCAAGGTTCTAAGACTGTTCAACTGCCTCCCAGCATATATCAGGGGGATTACCAATAGACCCCTGGCTGTCTTCAGGAAGGTGCTGGTCAGGCACCTAAAGTCAGTACCTGGCCAGCCGGGCTGTGGTTCGTACATCGGGTTGCGTGCAACCAACAGTAACAGCCTGATTGATCAGACCCTTATCTGGGCTGCGTGGGCATTAACCCCCGAAACCTTCTCCAGGCATACGCCAGGTAAGACTTACCTGGAAAATTGATTGGGAAAATTCATTCGGTACCTGAACAGATCAGCACTCAAACAGCCTTCTATAATGAATTAAGTTCAAGTACCGACGTTCCACTGTATTTTTCTGAACTATAACTATTAAATTATATAGTTACTTTGCAAACATATTGCAGAATTTATTTTTCTTGACTTCAAATGCAGTTGACAGCTTAAGTCCTACATATAGTGCTGCATTGTACATACATACATACATACATGTATGTATGTAATGTAATGTACTCTCCTATTTGTGGTTGCAGGGGTTGAGACATAGGTCCTGGCCCTTCCTCTTCACTGATCACTGCTAGGTCCTCTCTCCCTGCTCCATGAGCTTTATCATACCTCATCTTAAAACTATATATGGTTCCTGCCTCCACTACATTGCTTACCAGACTATTCCACTTCCTGACGACTCTGACTAAAAAAATACTTCCTAACATCTCTCTAACTCATGTGAGTCTTCAATTTCCATTTGTGAACCCTTGTTTCTGTGTCCCATCTCTGGAACATCCTGTCTCTGTCCACCTTGTCAATTCCTCACAATATTTTGTATGTCATTATCATGTCTCCCCTAACCCTTTTGTCCTCCAGTGTCATCAGGTCAATTTTCCTTAATCTTTCTTTGAAGGACATAACCCTTAGCTCTGGAACTAGCCTTGTTGCAAACCTTTGCACTTTCTCTAATTTCTTGACATGCTTGACCAAGTGCGGATTCCAAACTGGTGCTGCATACTCCAATATGGGCCTGATGTACACAGTGTACAGTCTTTTGAATGATTCCTTACTGAGGTATCAGAACACTATTCTCAGATTTGCCAGGCGCTCATATGCTGCAGCAGTTATCTGGTTCATATGTGCCTCAGGAGATGTGCTCAGTATTATACTCACCCCAAGATCCTTTTCCTTGAGTGAGGTTTGCAGTCTTTGGCCACCTAGCCTATACTCTGTCTATGGTCTTCTTTGCCCTTCCCCAATCTTCATGCTTTGCATTTGGCGGGGCTAAATTTGAGGAGCCAGTTGCTGGAACAAGCTTCCAGCCTGTCCAGGTCTCTTTGTAGTCCTGCCTGATCCTCATCTGATTTAGTTCTCCTCATTAACTTCACATCATATGCAAACAGCAACACTTCTGAGTATCCCTTCTGTCATGTCATTCACTTATAGCCCCAAAATAACACAGGTCCTAGGACTGACCCTGGGGAAAACCCTCTCATCAGAGGTGCCCAAACTTTGATACCTTGTCACATAACATGACTTTTGTTGCCTCCTGTCAGGAAATTCTCTGATCCATTGCAGTGCACTTCCTGTTACACATTCCTGATCCTCTAGTTTTTGCACTAATCTCTTAGGAACTGTGTCAAAGGAAACTTCTTGCAGTCAAGAAAACTGTAATCTACCCACCCCTCTCTCTTGTGTCTTACTTCCATTACCTTGTTATAAAACCCCAATAGGTTTGTGACAGGATTTGCCTTCCATGAATCCATGCTGGTTGTTGTTTGTAAGCTTGTTCTGTTCTAGGTGATCCACCACTCTCCTCCTGATAATTTTCTCCATGACTTTGTATACTATACATGTCAGTGACACTGGTCTATAGTTTAGTGCCTCGTGTCTGTCTCCTTTCTTAAAATTGGGGACTACATTTGCCATCTTCCATACCTCGGGTAGCTGCTCAGTTTCAATGGATGTTGAAAATTGTTGTTAGTGGCACACACACTGTTTCTGCTCCCTCTCTAAGGACCTACAGAGAGATGCCCGGTTTCCCCCACTCCCTTTTGAGGTATCAAAGTCACTTAGCAGCTTCTGCACCTCCTCCTTGGTGTGTGTATTTCATCCAATACTTATTGGTATATCCCTTGTTGGTATACCCCCCTGTTCTGACTTCCCAGAGTTCTTTCTGTGTCCACTGTAAATACTTCCTCAAATCTCATGTTGAGCTCCTCACATACTTCTTAGTTGTTTCTTGTGAGCTCCCCCACCTTCTTTCCTCAGCCTGATTACCTGGTTTCCCTTTAAGTTGTCTTCTCCTGTATGGCTATACAGCAGCTTCGGGTCAGACTTGACTTTTGATGCTATGTCATTTTTGTACTGTCGCTAGGCTCCCTCTTATCTGTGTATACTTGTTTCTGGCTCTTCGACTGATCTCTTTATTTTTCTGGGTCCTTTGTCTTCTGTACATTTTCCATTCTCTAGTGCACTTAGTTTTTGCCTTCCTACCAAGGGCTCGTTCTGATCTTCCCATTATTTCTATTGCCCTTGGGAACAAACCTTTCTTTTGCCTCCTTGTATTTTGTTGTTACGTAGTCCATTTTGTTTGCTGGTTTTCCTACCAATTCTCTTTCCCGCTGAACCTCCTGCAGGAAGGTCCTCATGCCTGTGTAGTTCCCCCTCTTGTAATTTGGCTTTTCTTATCCTACTCCTGTTACCCTCTCCACTTGTAGCTCCAAGGGGCCTTTCATATGTGATGTCCTCAATGTTCGAGCTACTCAGGGTGAACACAAAGTCCAGTGTTGCTGGTTGATCCCCCCCCTATCTCTCTCTCTCTCTCTCTCTCTCTCTCTTTTTTTTTTTTTTTTAACTCAGGGTTTGACAAGGTTAAGGATCCCTAGCTTTATTGACAAGCTATTTACAGGTTAAGGATTCCTAACTTTATTGGCAAACTAAGAGCTGTTACCTACATTAGCTCATTTGAAAGCATTTTCATTGTTATGAAACATACAAGTAGGGAACAGGATGAAGTTGGAGCCATCTGTGGGCCAGCATTTTCATTTGATCAACTGACTTTATCTCGTTGACATCATTATGCTGTACGAATGTGTTCCATACTCGAGTCATCCTGGGTATATATGATCTCAGATGGAGTGATGTTCTGGAGAAGGGTACAACCAGAGTGAAGTTGCTGCTTTCTGCCCGTCTTGTGGCATAAAAGCTTGTTTCACGCTGTCCTCGAAGTGGATCCAAGTGTGGTACTTTGACAATATTGGCCTTGTACATAACAGTAAGGCCACCCACATCCGTCCTGTGTTGAAGGCTCTGCTGAAATGACAGATCTATCCAGGATGGGTCCAGGCGAGAGATGAGACGTCTTGCTCTGTTCTCTACTCTGTCAAGCAGTCGCAGATGAGAGGGGGGGCAGGCAAACCAAGAAAGTGGAGCATACTCGAGGTGTGAGCGTACTTGTGCCTCGTACAGAATCTTGCAACCCCTACTGTCAAGCAGATGCGAGATACGGCGAAGTGGTGTAAGCTTCCTGGCTGCCGTGTTTGCAAGATTTACAACATGGTTCTTCATGGTTAGTTTGGAGTCAAATTTCACCCCAAGGATATCAACTTCTTCTCCAGGTGCCAACACCCTCCCATTCATCCTTACTACTGCACCAGCATTACCATCATGGTGCCTAGAGACGATCATCATTTGCGTTTTCTCAGGTGCAAATGTTACTTGCCATCTATTTCCCCAAGCTGATATAGCTCTCATCTGGTGATTGATGTAGCTTAGAGCAGTTGGCATTTCTTCTCTTGGATAAGTGAATGTCAGTGTACAGTCGTCTGCATATGCATGTGATTCTGGGACGAGATGAAGAAGGTCGTTGAAGTAGACATTTCATAACAATGGTCCCAGCACGCTTCCTTGTGGAACACTTGCCCCAATAGGATGTCTTGCTGATTCCGTTCCATTGAAAACTACACTTAGAGATCTACCATGAAGGTAATCACTGAGGAGACATAGCGTAGAGCCTGCAATTCCCAGTGCTTGAAGTTTTGCTAAGAGGCCCTGGTGCCACACCCGGTCGAAAGCGCCAGCAATTGTCTAGTGCTACCACACAGCTGACTTTGGATTCATCCAGTGACTGGTGCCACTTAGTGGAGAGGTTTA